GTTATCTGAAAAATGGCTAATTTTTACACAAATTCTGAAATGACGGATATTCATTTTATATATGGCAGCAAAGGGCAATGCTTCAAAAGCAGCACGCTTGTATCATGCAGCTTATCCGAATCGCCGACAGCCAAGTAGAAGAATGTTTATGTTATGTTAAAATTCATGAATCGAAGGCACATTGAATATTTATTGTAGATTTAATTTATTTTCTATTTTTCACAGAACAAAATGCTTCATAACTCAGAAATAAAAGATTTTCGGAGTACTGTTCATTAAGAGTTTTTGGTTTGTTTTAACGAGTACTACATACTCCTAAAATTTGGTACCACCTTTTGGGAACACCCTGTATACATTGAGGGGGAATATTGACACGAAAGTGTCAAAAATGTGTGCGAGAGAGAAAGCTGTACGTTCCTATTCGTCCTCTGTGCGTTGAAGTTGACAGGTTAGGTTAGGTTATATAGTTGACAGGAGATAAAAGTTATTTATTTTCTTCTCATAGAGCTGAGAATTTTTTCATAATTTTGTATTAACTTTCTAGTACTTCAAGAAAATGCAAGAAAACGCAAGAAAATACAGTACTAAAAAGTTAGTACAAAATTCTGAAAAAATTCTCCAAGCTCTATGAGAAGAAAATAAACAATTTTTACTTTTTGATATTTTTCGGTAAAGTTGAATCAGAGATAGAATTCAAGTAAAAAAATATTGAAACCAATAATTTTGTAGCTCAGCAACAACTGACGCATGTTGGCGCATGCGCACAGAAGATGAATAGGAATGTATACCTTTCTCTCTTGCACATATTTTGGACACACTTTTGGTCTACAGGAGGCATACGCAATTCCCCCTTCATATATATATGCTCTAAAGTCGTTGTAGACGCGCGACCTCGTTCGCATCACTGGCGCGTTCTCACATTCATGCACTTTTGGCACTTTCGGCGCGCTAATGAACTTTTGGTGTACGTGATTGACAGCGCGCGCGTCTGCGATCTTTTCATGCCGAGCAACTGCCATGCTCCGTATTCCATACGTCTTTCGCTTGTGTCCTGCGAGTCTCCTGCGGAAATAAGTATTAGAGTGCCCAAAACAACGACGCGTGGTCGTCAGGACATATCGTAAGTACATTATTACGGAATAATCTCCTCCCTTCTCGACACATACAGCTAAGGTGGACC